ATTAATTATTAGTATTTTTTTGTAGTGACAGAATTTAATTCATAATCTCTTTCGTTTTTTTTAAATTCATTAAATCAATCTTATGATTAACAAGTGTCACTTGCAAATTTACTGTTTAACAGTAAATGAGGCGAAAGCATAAATAAAACGAAAAGAATAAACACGTTAATCAAGAAATAATCAAAATTAAAGCTATCCACTCAAAAACTGCAAAGAAATACTATATTTTAGAAACTATACTTTGAAATATTATATGTTATTTAAAATCACATTTTCAAAAATAGCTTTTACAAAGAATATGTTCAAGTAAAAACTTGAGATAGATATTGTTTCCTTTTTCGAGAATAAAACACTGTTTGAGTATACATTGTAAGAGGAGAGTGTCCTTTATTTAATTTAATTTAGCAAAAGATGATTTGAATATAACACGTCTCTTGAAATGAGCAACATGAAATTTAAAATTATGAATTCATTAATTTCTAATTTAAATTTAAAAAAATAATTTTTCAATTACTTTAATTAAAAATTCAAATAAAAGTATTAATAAATCTCGAAGAAATATACTGACAAAGTAACTAAATAAAAAAATTATTTAAAAAAGACTACTAGTATGTTAATAGTTTAAATATTTAAAACATAAAATATAATTTACCATTATTAAATATAAACATTAATTCATGAAATGATGACCACACAAAATATATTTTATTTTGTGTTAAAATGTAAAATATAAATAAGAAACGTAAGAAATATAACTGCAGAGGAGTGTGCAAGGTTTTGGAAAGTCTTCGGAATCTTGGTCCGTACACGCGTGCTGTGGATAATGTCTTGTCCTTGCTCAACACGTGTCAATGAGGTCTTAAATCATATAATCCATTCAATGTTCCTATCATAGTCATATAATATTATACACAGTTACTCACTCACATACCCCACACACGTGTAAGAACCATTCAATTTCACACTTACAAAACATCATCTTTTACATCAAACATTAAGGCCGTGTTTGGTTAGAATCTTCATTATTAATATAGAAAAGATATTTATCTTATCGGAAGCTTTCAAACTTTTCACTTCTATAATGATTTGCTCATCAAATGTTTAAGTAAAAGAATAGTTAGTTTGAAGTTTGATTTATTCACCTTTGGTTTCATTTATTATGAATTGATAGGTTAAATGAGTTAATTTATTTAAGATGTTTTTTTTTTATATTTTATATGTTGTTTTAATAGATTGATTTAATTATTTTTTTAATAATAATAAAATCAAAATATTCATCTATTTTATTAAATGCAAATAATAATTCAAAATTATAATGCAGACATAATTTAACAAACAAATAAATTGAATATTTAAATTATTTAAATATTATTAAATGATATTTAAGTTTTTAAAAACTAAAGTATCAACATATATACAATTATAAAAAGAAACTTATAACAAGATTGTCAAAATAATAAAAAATTATTATAGATAAATTATGAATTTACCCAATTTCAACTTATTCGAATCTATTTAACATATAAGTTAAATGAATCAACTTCAATTCAATATATATGTATATATATATATATATATATGTATATATCTTTTTATTTAAAAGAATAATAAGTTAATTTGAAATTTTATTTAATGATCTTGATGATCTATTTTATGGTTTTAATTTAAAATTTTAATTTGTTTCTCTCGATTTTTGCTATTGTCATCCAAATTTTATGTTCGTTTTTATTAAGAAAAGACGTTTGGTTTGTTGTAGCACATTTTTATATGACTAATGTAAGAAATATTGGTACTATTATTATTGTGGCCTATTATTATATTGTGATTAATGACGTGTTTCTAATTATTTCGAATTTAACTCTCTCAGCATAACCGAGTTTTGCTAGTCTGTGTAATAATTGACCATTAATAAAGTGAGTAAGGATGTAATATCGAAAATTATTAAAGTAATTCATTTTTCTTAATTTAACAATACAATTTGAATTAAAGTAATTCATATGTTTTTCTATAGAATTTAAATTATATTTACGGTGTTACACATTTCAATCAAGTTTACATTTTTTTTTTAAATTAGAAATATGAGAATGATGGAAGATTGATTGTTGTATGGTTCAAGTGACATAAAGAAAGTCTATTTGAAGGATTTAGAAGGCTATAAACTTCCTTTAAACATTATTGTGAATAATTATGTTAAAGTTCTTTACAAATTATAACAAAAAAAAAGTATTTAATAAAAGAAATGAAAATCTGAAAATTACAGAAGGAAAAAGATGTACCATCAAATGAAAAAGACATACATTAACAATATAACTACTCAATATTCATTTCTCTCACATCTCATCAATTTCAACACAATTTTTTATAAATAACTTTTAAAAAGATTATAATGTTATTTAAAAAATAAACTTTAAAAATAACTTAACTTTATAAAATAAAAATTACACTAAATAACTCAAAACTTTCATTTTACACCAGAAGACCTGAGATGAAATTTAACATAACATTAAGATTAAAAACCCAAAATATGCTAACTGTTTTAGTTGATAAACCTATGTTAGTATATTTAAAATTAGATTAAATATATTTTCATCTCTTATTTTTAAATAAAAAATTAAAATTAATTATTTGTAAAATTTTAAACTTTTTTAATTTCTTAAATTTTATTAAATTAATAAATTTAATAAAATTTGATTAGAAAATTGAAACTTACATATTTTTAAATTTGAAAAACTAAACTGGATGAAAATAAAAAAATGAACTAATTTTTTAATAAAAATGAAAGACATTTAATCTTAGAGAGATTTTATAAGACATAATAATCTTAGTAATGTTGTTGAAGGTGGTGGTCGTTGAATGCGACCCCACCTGACAGGAGAAGACAAGATACGTTGAAGGTCGATACAAACCGCAACCGCATTCATATCCATACTTGTTCCTTCAAATTTCTTTCTGACTCCAACCAGAACATTAGATATACAAAAGCAAAGTCCAAAGAAACCGAACACGCAACACAGAGAAATCTAGATACTAACATCACATCACCAACCACCAATTAACTACTGCCATTCTTTTTATTTCTCTATATATCATCACTTTTTCACTTTCTTTCGTTTTATACTCTTCTTCTTCTTCTTCTTCTTCTTCAACCCGTGATTCCAACTTCTCCTTTTCTCTTTTCTCTTTTCTCATTTCTTTTCACCTCTTTCTTTCTCATGGCTTCCCTCTCACGGGGTCTTGTTCTCACCTCTGCCATGCTTCTCTCAACCACTCTCCTCTACGTTGCTTTCTCCAGGCAAAAATCCAACCTTTCTTTTCGGATTCATCACTCCAACAAACCCACCTTGCGTTCTTGCTTGTATTCGGGTAAAGTTTGATTTTTTTTCAAAAATAATCACTGCAAGATGTTCTTTTCTTACTTTCATGTTATTCTATCTCTTTTTTCTTCATTGGGTTGTGCTGATTTTTGAATGTGTTGTGTGCTTTGCAGAGGAAAAGAAACGGGAGAGAAAGAAGACGAAGAAGAAAGTGAAATTTGCAGATAGTGTGAAGAAGGAAGGGAGAGAAAGAAAAGACGAAAACAGAGTATCGAATAACTGCAGGGACGAATCCTCAGATTGTGTCGGAATGCCGGCTAACAGAATCGCTTTGTATAACGGGATTTTGAGGGAGCGAGTGCACAGAACGGAGTGTTCTTATTGATACTAACACATGATTTTCTTCAAAGATCGATCAAACCCTGTACTTGTATTGTACATTTGTGTAAGGAATTTGAAGAACGCACAAAATCTATCTTTGTGTCTCTGTCTGTCTCTCTCTCTTCCTCTGTTCTGTCTCTGTCTATCACACTTCAAATTTTCAAATATAATTTTGTGGTGAGGAGGGGTTAATTCAATGTAGAAATTAAAAGAATATAAAATCTGGGATATTCTTTTCTTGTGGTTGTAAATTGATGCCTACAGGAGTTTGTCCCATTGTTATGTACGAATTCTTAGGCGAAGTTTTGTTTTTTCTTTTCCGAAATAATACACTTCCATCCACTTGAATGAATCAAATTTCTATTACGTTTCAACCATTCTTTTCATTCATTGCTTTGAAGGTGTCACTGTTTTACATATGTATTGGACATGTCTAAGTTTTGTCTGTGATATATTGATTACTGAGTTAGTTTCCATGACTAGAAAAACTATAAACAATTACAACAACATCAAAATACAATAATGACTTAAGTGATTTTTTTATTTTTATTTTTCGTATAAAAATCATAGTGGTAAAAAAAGCTACTAATTTAAAGATAATCATGCTTTAAGTTTCAATATTACATCTAGAGGTGGAAAAAACTAAGAATTCATTAAGAGTTTAATACATATTATACTGTTTATAGAGTTTTTAAGAGATTGAATAACTACTTTATTCAAGCTCAAATAAACAATTATAATATTAATATTCAAAATTTTATTAATGTAGTAGTCGGAAGAAAAGTTTAAGTCTACTGACTTATTTTGAAATAATGATTAACTTATTTAAAATAACCCAATACAAGAGATTTTAACAAACGTGGGAGTTAATCCTTAAAATTTAATATATTTCTAACATAAATCTTACTTAAACGTTATATTTGATAGTTAAGTTGTGCTTAATTAGAATAAAATCAGTCTGATTTAACTTATTTTACCTCTTAATTCACATTGAATAGACTATATAAAGTTAATCGTGTTCATCATCCATCTTTGACTGATTAATAATCTTCACCCTTTTTCATCAAATTAATATTTTGGCCCAGCTTTTATGACCTACAATTGAAAATTATTACTGAAACAAGTTTTCGTTGACATTTAACATCTGACTTTTAGATTATGCAGTGAAAAATCAACATGTTTGACCCAAGAGTTTCATATTAAAAAAAGTCCACATAACAGCACCATTTAATATTAAACTAAGCTACGAAATTGATTATGGACTTCTATCAATGAATTGTTGTCCCTAAACTTTATAGACTTTGATTCTGTCAAACAACTTGTATAATTTAAGTTCTCCTCACAGAATTCAAATAAAATTCATTGAAGATATCAATGAAAAGATAAATGATATGAAAGAACAACAATCTCTGACCTTAATCTAAACAAAAAAATCACAGTTTATGTCTGTTTGTTGTTCTCATCCTCGTACCCAGATGCTCTTCCTCTTCTTCCTATGAGGTATGGCTCTGGGGAGGTGTTCTCACTGGGCATAGTCAGCCCCTGATAAGATCGATTAGCTAAAAACTCTGCTCCTGATTTAGCATTTCCTTTCATTAGAGCATTAGAGTTATTCCGCAACTGCAGTGCCTTCTCTGTTGCATTTACCAAAGCAAGGGCTTCTCTTTCTTCCTCAACATTTTCTGATGAAAATACAGAATGTCATTAGAAAATAAAACTAATGATCTTATTTGGTAACTCAGAATAAATGACTGAATCATCATCAGCATTAGGTTTCAAGGATGGTGGTAAAATGGTTACTCTGTCAATTTATGGGTTATGGCAGCCAAAAATTTTGTATTCCATGAAACAGAAACAATCTCATGCCTGGTTAAGTTTACTGATATAACTGAATCTCTTCAAGGGAACTTTTCTTTTAGGCAGATGATACAATGTGATTAACAACAACACATCTTCACTAATTTTTCTATTATGTCAGAATTATGAAGGTCGGTTTTGCTCCTTTGAAAAAAATCAATAAAAGTAACCATTCAGTTGCAAGCATAGAAGCGTGAAATGAAACCTACCTTGATTTTCAAAATCTTCAATGTATCCACCCTTCAAGAATGAGAACCGTGCTTCTTCTTCCCCTTGGTCTCCAGCTTCCATTTGAGGCAAATTAATTAGATCTCGAAATTCCATTACATAGGCTCCTGTCCACTGGCTTCCCCTGAAAACAGATAATATGGTCAAATCCGGAATGAGGTGAGTCGTTGATTTACAATAAACAAAACATAGAGGCTACACAAAAATATTGGCAATCCATACAAACACTATCAGAGAGACATTTTAAAAATAAAAAGTAGGTTTAACTACGATAGTGTACCTATTGAAAGCTATCATTGCTTCAAAGGGAGTAATAACTGGAGCTAGATACTCTTTGCTATCCAGTAGAGCAGTTTGGGCACAAGAAACATATATAAAAACATCACACTGATGAAATCAAACTGTTAGAAAGCTTTTACAAAAACACAGACTGAAATATATACTAAGGATGTAATAAATTTCACCTCAGGAAAGTTAGCAAGTTTAGCTGGGTTTGGCTTTCCCATAACCAAAGTATAGGCCTTCTTGCCTGCTCCAGTTATGAGCTCCTTCATTTGATTGATTATGTGAAGATAACCAGCTGCATCGGTAGGCAATATGTTAAATTAAATCCCAATTCTATTGAAAAAAAAAGCAAGCATATAAAATATTTACTCTCACACGAGATAGTTTCCACATTTCTTATAGCTACCTAAACCATGATTGAGACTGTGAACCATTTACATATGCATTCTGTAATCATAGACAATAATCAAATGATGCCTCACATAATTCTTCTCATCGCATTCAAGGTTAGTAACATTAAGGATTCACTCTTGATATCCTTTCTTACTAGACAACAATATTCAAATAAAATGTTTTGTCTTTTGGATGTTTGCAATATTGTAATGCTTCACAAGGAATGTGACAGTATAATTCTGCATATGCACATGCTACTTTAGTTATTATCATCGACACACAAAAAACAAATAAAAATTTGACAAGACAACATACCAACACCAAGAGTTCCAACTAAAATCCCAACAATATTAGCATCCTTAGCTCTCTCCACAAGGTAATATCTGCATAGTCATCACTCTAGCTTAGTAAATTTGAAGATATAAGCTGGCTTACACAAGACAGAGTAGTGCGTTTATATTGGGATTCATACCTACGTTTAAGAATCCTCCTTTGTTGAAACAAGTCTGTCACCATTTGATTTTCATTTGCATAATATCTGACTAAAGCAACAGAAATCATAATAATTATAATCATGATTCAGAAATTCCTAAAGTAGAAAATAAGTTGAGAAGCCTTTTCATTTCATATAGATATAAAGAAAAATTAAAACAGAGTAATAATTTCAGGGATATTAGCTTTCCAAAATATACCCTTTTGGTAGAGATGCCGTACAACACATGACACATGTTTACTAACAGCTTTCCTCGTGTCATTTGATGATAGAAATACAATGTAAAGGAAAACATAAATTAAATGGAGAAATTGACATCAATGTTGGCAAAACTGAGATCTTAATTAAGTTCAGGTGGGGATGGTAGGAACCATACAAAATTATACTTAACAAAAGCTCAAAATTTAAAATTATACTTAACACAAGCATATATGAAATCACATCATTGAACTAGAATTCAAAATTTGTAAGCTCAAAATCCAATACCACTCATAATTGGTCAGATAACTTTTTCATTAGAAATATAAAGGGCAAGACCGTGAATCTCACGAAACCACAATCCTGCCACCAATCCAACTCACATCTGGCTCCAAAAGTTGCAGAGTCATATAATTTCATGATCTTAATCAGGATCTTAACAACAACAATTGATATAAGCAATTCATGGAAAGCAATACAGGTTTCATGAGAAAGGTAAGCTTTTATATGCAAAAATGCAACATATAGATGTTGTAGTGTATAAAAAAAATACAGATGCACATGACAAATTTCTTAAAGGACGGGAAACTGTCAACCTATTTCACAAGTATTGAATGTGAGCACAACATTAGCAAAAGCTGAATCATCAAGTCCAATCCAAAAGAGCAAGTAGTCATCCATGCTTTGTCCTTGAGGTAATTTCCAAGTTAATCCCCCAATGCTATACGTAGTGCCACTTTCTCCATTGCAACCACAAGCTAGTTCTTGGAGCCCTTTTATCTTTTTAATATCTTTTGATGGAAACATAACTGAAGATGGAACATCAGCAAAGTGAACTTCTGGCTTAGGGTCAATTCTGCATGACATTGATGATTCTAACAGTGCTTCTTTAATTTGTTGCATTGAATGTGCATATTCCAGCCCAAAAAGGACCTGGAAGCAGATGGTGCATGAAACAATAAATGTCAGAAACTTACATGGTAGAAAAATACCCATAATCTTCTCTTATATATGGCCGAGAAGCTGGAAAAATTAGCAATTCATGTAGAGAAATATAAATCATCCCAAAAAGACTAAATAAAGATGCGAAGTCCAGTTTATATTCTGAACAATCATCACCAGAGGATAATTGCAGTTGCCTTATTTCACATACACTACAACATTCAGTTAATTTATACAAATATAAATCCAGGAATGATTAAATAAATAGTTATACCATGATAGGCTTACTGTTTGTCAGAGCATATTTTGACATACTTTCAACGCAATCAGCTACGCAAATGGAAGCCTTCCCAAAAACAAAAAAGGATGGCAGAGTTGTTGTCCTGAAGTGCGCAAAGAAGATCCAATGGAAGCGTAAGAATTAGAATCTCAACCCTTAATTAAGGTAAAGAAATAAACTGAGCAACCCAGTGGTACCACAGACACTATAATTACATTTAAGTTGAAGTGCTCAAAGAAGGAACGGAATCTAAAGGAAACTTAGATTATGAACTAACAGCGTAAATAACTGGGCAGTATCATACTCATACACAGATGGATATAGTTATTTGAAATGCATCTCTACATTCCACAATCAGATATGAGAAAAAAGACACACTATTTATAAGATAAGCTCAAATTAAAGATTTAAAAAATGTTTTAGAAGAACTCACGGACTAAAACATGTATGTCCATAATGTATGACACAATCAACATTAATATGTGATGCTCCAACTTCATCAACACAGCAGCTGCCATACGCCGTGTCTGCCATCACAAACAATCCTACGTCTGCCTCGTACCCACTTTCTGAGACATCAATTTTTTTCAATGATTGAAGTCTCTTGCGCAGAGCAGTGACCACTCTTGTTGAATCTTTTAGAAGATTATCTGGAAACTGAAATTCAAACATGAATGTCCTTGAATTGAGAAAAGTACAGTAATAACTCCCATCTACAAGAAAACCTTAAATATTCAAGATTTATACTGGGCTTGGTGGTAGAATTAATAAAGACTATTACTTTTATTGCTAGTGTTTTGTCCAGGCATTGATGAGTTTGAGGGAAAGGTGAAAGTGAAGAGTTGATGAGATAGATGGTCTTACTTGTAAGGCAACTCTATTGAAGTTGTGAGTATGAATGAATAGAGCAGAGGCGGCAATATCATAATTTGATTCAAAATCCATCACCATATCCAAAGGCTACAAGCAGTGAAACAAAATAAGCTTTTTTTTTCTTCTGCGGTGCCCTGTTTATAACATTCAAAGCAACCGAGAAAAAATTGATATTACATGTGAAAAGATGAAACTTTGGAAGATTGAGAGTAGTAGTAGTAAGAATACGTGTTAAATTGAAGAACAGCGTGAAGTGTTGTTGTTGCTTGTGGTGTGGCGTGATGTGCGGAACCTGAACGCGCCCTGCCACTGTTGTAGACGCAGCTCTTAAACGGCGTCGTGCTGCCCTTCGCCGGAGTTTCTGAATCTATTGAATTTTTCGGTACTTAGGGCACACCCAAAAGACACGATTGATTTAGGAATTTTAAGAATAATATCTGTTTAAGAATTATCCTTTTAATTTTTTTTAACAGCTGTTTATTTGTTGTGATTTTTTCCATCAAAATATTTGTTAAATATAAAATATAACTTTTTTACCAAATGAAAAGAGTTGATAAAATATGATTATAGTACTTCAATATTTTATCAGATAAAATATTAATTTTTAATTCTATTTAATTTAGTAATTATATGGTTAGCGAAATAAACAATAAAAAATAAACTAATAAATTAAAAATAAGAATAATATTATAAGTAGTGAAAATTATTATTTATAATATTTTTAAATCATGAAAAAAATTATATCTGATTATCTTATTCATGAAAGATAATAAATGAACACACTAAAGATAGGATTTTATGAATATTCGAATAACTTTTAGAAAAACAAATACATAGGTATTATTTCATTATAATTTTATGAAATTTTGAATAATAATATGTACATTTGATCATTCATACATACATAATAAGAACGGACACTCTTTTTTTTTTTTCTAATTTCTCTTATTTCATATTCTTTTATCATTTTGAAATTCTGTTATAATTTTAATGAAAAACACATGTTTATAAATGTTCTGAATAAAATTAAATTGTATTACTTTATTTAAATTTTGTCTATTTCTTTTTTTTTTGTCATTATTATTATATTATTATAATTAATATTATTATTAATTTAGTCTAGCACCTATACATAATAATATATAGTTTTGTGTGTAACTAAACACCTGTACATCATCGACAACAAATCCTTGTTTTTCTGGAAAAGAAGGAGAAGAAAGAAAGACAACAGAACCCGAAAAAAACACCCTCACACAACGAAGCCTACCCATTTCAGGGCAGCCAGCAAGGTAAAAGACACAACACAACCACCATAGCTCTCTTTCTTCCTTAATTTTCCCTTTTATATCCTTATGTTTCTCTTTCTTCTCTTTCACGTTCAAATAAATTACTGAAAGAAATTCCAATTCGCCCTTTTCTTCTTAATTTTTCTTTTAATTTTCTGGATTACACCCTGACTTCATCTTTCGACTTCTTCATTCACCCGCAGACTCATTTCAGCAGATCTGACTAGGGTTTTTGGGGGGGTTTTCAGACATTGCATGCATATGGGGTATGTTTTCTCTATCCAACTGTAACCCACCGAATAAATTTATCTCCTTTTTTATTTATTTTTCCGGATTTTACTTCTCCCCTTTATGGGTATGGATGATTTTGCTTGTATTGAGTATGAGTCAATAATCATGCCCTGGTATGCTTGTTAATATAATCTGGGAATTTTTTAATTTTTATTTAGATATTTAATCAAATAACTGGTGAATAGGTGAAACAAAAACGAAGTTACTTTCAGGGAACTGTATATATGTTTATTATATAGATTTTGCTCCTGGCTTAATTTTCTGAATTGAAGTAGTTGGAAATCTTGTGAGGAGTGGAGGGTCAAGGTATTTTGTTACAAACATGAAAATTAATGTGTTAGGAAAGTTGTCAAAGTTCATAACTCCTCAACATGTTAAAAAATCATCCTTGTAATAATTCTTAGATGTGTTGCCAATGATCTAAGGCTGAGGTTAATGGTCATATTAGCTTGAAGAAGAGCACCTCCATGTCTGCATAATTTTCATTTAGCTAGTTTGTTATACGTGTAATTTGCTATTTTTTTTTTCTCCTTTGTGAGGATGATTGTGCATTAACAAATTAGAAAATTGTAGTGTTTGAAATTGTGGAGGATGATTTAGAAAATTATATTGATATGATTATATTACCGTGCATAACAGAATTAAATGTGATTGCAATAGCACAGTGGTTGTCTTGGACCCTTTAAAAAGCCCTCTCTAATTTCTAATGCTGATGTTCCTCCAAAAGGATTGAAGAAGCGAGGTAAGGCAGCAAAGAAACCTAGCACGTCAGAGGATTTCTGGATCACCAGCACGCATGATATGGACAACAGTGCTGTTCACTCACAGGGAAGCATTTCATCAGCCAGTATAACCAATCAACCTGCAGATTCTCATGGACCTTCATGCAACCCTACTGAATTTGTGAATCATGGTATACTATTTTTCTTTTTCTTTCTTTATATTTCATTACATTACATTATTCATGCAACCCTACAGATTCTTTTTTTTTTCTTTATATTTTATATTGACTATGGGATTTCTTTGCCAGGTCTTATCCTTTGGAATCAGACCCGGCAAAGTTGGATTGGAAATAAAAGGTCTGAGAACAGAACTGAACAGTCACGAGAACCAAAAGTGAGGTAAACTGCATTGTTTGATTGATTTTACTAGCACTTTGTATTTATAAGTTTTTTATCACTTTTTATTTATTGGGTGTTTTTGGGGTGGAGGGGAGGGGTGATACATGTATAGCACCTGTTTGTGTTTATTCCTCACAGAATTCCCTGTGCTTTATAATTTTGAGATTCCACAAGTCTAAGCAGATGATGTAATGTATTTTTCATAAAGTTTGTTAATTAGTACCTTTTTCAGAATCCATGTTTCTTTGAGGATAAATGTGGGGCAAGTATGTAAGGATTGTTGCTAGCATGCAAGCTCATTTTTCTGTAGTACTACTTTCTTGTTTTATCGACTGGTGTAAAATGTACTGGGTTCATCTTAAGTTAAAATCAAAACATGCACTTTAACTTTTGTGAAATCTCTCTCATATCTATAAGTTCTTATGCAAATTTTGTTCAACAACAAATTGGAGAAAACACCAATTCCATCCGTGGCCTGATGAAAATCTATATGGTGTTGTAGTTGGAATGCAACATATGAAAGTTTATTGGGTGGCAACAAGCCATTCCCTCAGCATATTCCTCTTGCGGTAAGCCCCAGGGTCTACGTATGAGCCTTCTCAACTTAAGTAATTATGATCAATTATCTGATTTGTTTGTTTGTATAAATTTTGTTAGGAAATGGTAGATTTTCTTGTGGACATCTGGGAACAAGATGGTCTGTATGACTAACCTATACAAGACTGTAGGAGTGTAAGTTGGTTTGATCATTACAATAATTATAGTTCTTTCTTCTGAAGGAAGAGGAAAATTGGGCATACTTGCAGTTTGTAACTTTGTATATCTGTTGTAACATCATCTTTCAGTTGACAATGACAAAGAATTTTATTATAATTTTTCCACAGCCTGCACATTTTTAGTTACCATAAATGCCAATTCAATCACACAATTAAGATGTTGCAAAATTTTATCAAGTTGGCTGCAACTATTTTTGCTGTTCACAGACTTTCAGCATCTTTGTTTGAGAGAACAAACATAACAGTTACTTTCTCCCTTCAGATGAAACTATGGTTGAGAGAAGTTAGGCAAGTGAATTAGATTTGTAGGACTATTATATAATTATTTAGTTAGAAGTAAAAAAAAACTAAATTTGAAAAAGTTGTAATAAAAGAAAATAATTTAAAATGGTCAAAATTCCCGAAGTAGTATAACAGTAATTTGCTAAGAAAGACATAGTGAAACTTGCATTGGAGAATTCTGAAACTGAAATGAAAGACAGGACAACCCAATTCATGAAATGGTCGGATATGAATTTGAAATGATAAATTTGTACTATATTGACAAGTTGGTCCCAAAATATCAGCTATAAAATAATAATAAGGGTCAATTTTAATTTTTGGATATTGTTATTTGTGAAGAAAATATTAAAAAACAAATATTTTTATTTTATTTTATTCATATGAATAATAAATATCGGCTATAAAAAATAATAATAAAAGTCAATTTCAATTTTATTCCGTCTTCTTTATAATAAAAAAGAAATATAGAAAAGTTTCTTTATCGAGGCAAAAGGTCGTTGTTTTGTTTCCAAAAGTTGCAGATTTTTCCTCGGGTTGTTGGAGTCATGGACAAGAAGCTCAATACTCGAGGAACTTGTAAAATGTCAAAAAGCTTAAAACAGAAAACGGATTGATTAACCATATTCTATGTTAATTATAATACATAAGTTATAATATATGTTTATGAGAAAAAATAAATACCAAATTGAAATTATTAATTAATTGATTAATTATATTATGATTAATTTTGAAAATAGAATATTATTTTATCTATTTAATAACTTTTTAATCTAAGTAAAAAATTTATACCTTAACAATTATTTCAGGAGTATGAAATAAGTACATCAAAATTCAGAAAAAGAAGTACCAATAAAACATCTTGTGTCAGGATCACATCTTGTCAGGTCTAATTAAACAAGTAAACATTGATAAGTAAGGTTCTATACGACATCACACCACACCACTCCCACCATGAAAAGAATATAATTGTACCTAAATTTATCATATTTTTTTATTTTTTTTTTCTTTCTATCTTTATTTGAATACATAAGGCTTCTTTGTAAGCCCATATTTTCGAAAATGATTTTAACATCTTTTAAATTGTATAATTATTTTATTTCATATGCTTCTAACTTTAACTTTATTGTTTTTTAATTAAATTTTAATTTTATTGTTTTTATTAATTTCTTTTCATTTTAATTAAATTAAATATTTATTTTTTTAAACCAACAAAAGCATTCAGTAATTTTATTATTAATTTTGTCAATAATAAATCATAACAAAACAGTGCATCTAAAAAAACGGTTTGCTATAAATAATTACAATCTTTATCGGTCATTGTTATTAAAACATAGAAAAATTATTACAATGCTATAAACTATTCAGCAGAAAATTTATATATTTAGAACATTATGACCAAAATTAATTTCTGGACTAAAAAATATACACAGACAATTTTTATAATCTTTGTTTATCATTCTTAATGAATAAAAAATAATTTTGACTATGACAGAGTGATTTTTCTTAGGAAATAGAGATAAGGAATCTCATGCCACACTTACTAACCCTCACCCTCAGTCAATCAATGCTTACAAATAGTTCAGATATCTTTGAACTCTCAAACTAAATTTATTTTAAAGGTTCTAAATATATTTTTAGTCCCTAAACTATTGGTCGTTTCTGATTTTCGTTCCTCTTTCAAAGTAAGGTACAATTTGGTCCTCATTCTTTTCGAAAAGTTCGTTTTAGTCCTCGGAATTTTGGTTTTAGTCCTCATTTGTTGCTAAATGAGGACCAAATTTTTAAACAGTGTTTAGTTTTCGAGGACTAAAACGAACGTTTCGAAAAGAATGAGGACCAAATTGTATTTGAAAGAGGGACGAAAACCAGAAACAGCTAATAGTTTAGGAACTAAAAACATATTTAACCCTATTTTCAATTTTCTTACATTCTTACAATGGTGGAGAGTAATACATTTTTACATTCATTTTAACACATAATATAAAATTAAAATGATTAAAATAAAAGTAAATTTTTGTATTTAAAAAAAAAGAAAAGTAAAAAAGTAAGAAACATTTTTTATTTTCTTAATAAAAAATTGACCAACAATCCAAAGTCAGGTCTCCAATTTCCCAAAAGGACTGAACTACACATCTCCACTCTGTGGTCTCTATTTTCACTATTTTCATTGGGGGAACAAACATTCAACCAGTGCATTGTCTCTCCAACAGGAAACATCTCTCTACTTTATCAAACACATTCAATGTCTTGTTTTTCTTCCTATCATATTTCAATTGCCACAACCTTTCACTCTTTCACCCAAATTTCTTCACTCACATATCAAACCCTTCACTGATGGCACCACAAGACAGAGATGGATCCAAAGTTGCACTCACTTTGGCTTTCTTCTTTTTCTTCATTGTTCTACTTCCTCAGTCAGGTAACCAAAACTCTTCATTTTTGTCACTTTTTATCACATTAAGCAAGAAATTCATCTGATGCATTTTTGGCATTTTCCCATTTGTCTAAGACTTTTGTGCTTTATATCATCTTGGTAGGTGGATCTGTGATGTCTGATAGAAGAAATAGTTTGATGATGGGGTCAAAACCTCCAGCTTGTGGAAACAAGTGCATGAATTGTAGGCCTTGCACAGCAACTGTGGTGATTCCTAATCACAAGACCAAAGGTTTCATGGCTTCCTCTCACCGCCAGGATGATACCTATTACCTCCTTTCATGGAAATGCAGATGTGGAGATAAGTTCTTTCAGCCATAAGAATCAACCCTACATCTTCCTTTAACCCTATATCTATGTATATTATTTTTCAATCCATAATATTACTATAGACCCTACTTGGTGAATGGATTATTCAATTT